CTGACGAGTGGGGAGGCTCAGGGGGGCCAGCTGCCTCTGACTTGAGCGGCGCGGCAGTGGCATATGGCAGGGGATTTACTTCAAAATCTAAGTCTATCAAGGACAGATGGAGAATCGGTTCTTCCTGTAGAATAGGCTTTTTAGGGGAAGTAATGGGAATGGGGGTGTTCCCCGACACGGCCAGTATCGTAGGCCAGTCTGCAGGTGACTCATGGATAAATGGCTGCAGCCAGGAAGGAGGGTCCTCTACCAAAGTCTGCCACATAAGGATATAGGGATATTGATCAGGGTGGCTGTGAAGACCGGGTCTATTAATGACGTCTTGGACCTTTCTTAATTGTGTCCAAGGAGAAGGTACCTTGAGGAGGCCAGCCTACATTAAAGGTTGGCCATTCCGCTGAACAAAGGGTATTAAACTTACTTTTCTTAATTTCCACGCCATAATTGTGTCCCTTAGTGCAGATTTCTGAAAAATGACTCAGAAGAAGGGTCTAGGAGTTACCTGAGCCTGTCCCATGATGATCAGGAGAGAGGGACAGAGGAGACAACAAAGAACAAGAGAGACAATTCCAGCAGACAAATTCGCACAGGACTCTCCAACATACACAAGTACCGGCCAGCCAACCAGACTACTCTCACAGGTGTAATTCCATTCACACCAGACTCAGGATCCTTACCCAAAGACCGCCCAAATGGCGTCCACTGAGGACGTCGGCGCGGTTCCTGACCGTCAGGGATGTCTCCCACGACTTCCAATAGTGGAGCCTGCAGGGCTGTAACCCCTTCCTTCCACTCAATGAGAATTCTCAACCAAATTCAGATGGGGACTCTAAGTCCCTCCAAACGGAGGTGGCCAATCCTCCTTCCGCGGTCTTTCTCAACTAAACCTCGATATTGGAGGCCGTTTGTTCCTCTCAGGGAGGGGCCGATATCTTGGTGGGACCTCCAGATGTTGGGGTCCGAGGTCGACCACCCCTCAGAGGAACAAAAGACACTCACGATAATGTAAGCCACAAAGCAAGGTTTATATTTCCAGCCAGCTGGGGTCCGGGTATCTGCCCAATGCAGCGGGTTTCAATGAGGACCCTGAATGCAAAGTTCAGGCTGCTTTTATAATTTTTTAAACATTAGGTATGGTCACACAGCAATTTTTATGGCCCCTGGGGTCACATATTTCTGATATCATCCACATCCTGGTGGTGGGGCAAGATTACTTGAAGATTATTTATCAGGAACTTGATAAACACCAGGTGTCTTAACTCATTGACTCACATACCGTTTAGCAAGATTAACCAGAAACAGTCCCTGTTCCCAGAAACTGTCCCACCTCCCACCAGTAAGTGGCGACTTGGGTCATGTTAGTCATGGCCGGTTTCAGGCTGAGTGGGCTGCAAACCTCAAAGGTACCCTAACACTACCAATCCATGAGCATGGGAGATCTCTCCACTTTCTATAGTCTTCCTCAATCTCTTTCTTCAGAAGTGTATAGTTTTCCTTGTAGAGGTCTTTCACATCTTTTGTTAGGTTTACACCTAGGTATTTAATTTTTTTCAGGCTATTGTAAATGGAATTGTTTTCATATATTCTTTTTCAGTTTGAAGAACAGAATATCTTTAAGATAGAATTAGATGCTACCTTTAAGTTAGTTTACTAAATTTTGATTTTAGGAAATTTAGATAACCTTTTAAAATACAGTCAGTTACACTTTGTTACCTTTTGAACATTGAGATTTTGTCCCTTCTTAAAAGTAACTTTTTTTTTTTTAAACTCTATCGATCACCTTTTAACATCAGACAGCCAGAGCCCAGAGGCTATTGCAGGAAGTTTTAAAGTTAGTCATCACCTGAAAGCCAGCAGTAACCTACATTAGCAAAACAAAAGACCCAAACCCATTAAAGTTTTCATCAATTACAGCAGGAACCAGGTTTGGGGGCGTGCAGCTTCCTCAGGCGGCTTTTATTGCCATGGGTCTGGGGAGAGCATGTGTGGTCCGGTGGGCTGCCAGCCTTGCCCCTGTCTGGCCCCCAGTGCCCAGGCCTCCCTGGCCTTCCCACTGGTGGAAGTGGAGCGTGGTGCTTTGTGCCCCTCTTGCAGCTGGATTCTCCTGTGTGCACAGGAGCTGCCGCAGCGCACAGGCCACCTCCCTGGGCACGTTCCCGGTCACGATCCCTGTGCAGTCTAACGCGCCGCTGGCAAGGTGAGGCCGAGCACAGGCCAGCTGAGAAGTGCATTGGTTCGTGCCCCTCCCCTGCCCGCGGTGAGGAGTAAATGCTTCCCATTTGCTAAAACCGCTGGTCGGGAGAGAGAAGGAAAACAAGAGAAGGGGAGGGGGCAAGAAACCGAGCCTTTCTGATTGTACAATCAGGCATTCCTGGTTGTACCGGGGTCACGTGGTGGCTGGAGCCCTTAGAGTATGATCTCCCACAGAGCAGCTATTATCCCAGAGGAAGGGGGTAAGGCTTAGGGAGGAAGAAGGGAAAGCATGTTGCAGTTTAAGGCGGCCTGGCCCGCCCATTCTCTGTGAGCCCAAGCTGGGGGGGCGGGGGCGGAGCGCACATCAGATACACTGCCACTCCTATGCAGCCTGACCCAGCATTTCCCAGCTACTTTCCCTGAGGACGGAGCTCAGCCCATTCCCTTGGCAGTGCAGAAGGAAAAATGTGAAAAGAATGAAAGCGAGCCTCTAAAGTGGACCTCACCCTGAGTCTCCTGGCTGGCGTCGCCAAACGTTGAGGGCAAAAACGGTGCTTTCAGAAGACCTTGGTCCTTGTGTTCCCTCGTGGAAGAATCCAAGCAGAATGCGTGGGTATAAATGGGGTTTATTAGAAGTTAGGAAAGGAAATGCAAAGGGAGCATGGTGGGGCCCGCCAGCAGAGAGTGTGTGCTTTTTCTTTTTCAGGTGTTTTTAAAACCTACACTACCCCAAGGGGAGGGCAGACCCAGGAGAAACCCATCCAATAATGAACCAGTGGGGAGGGGCATGGGTGGTTCCCAGCCAGGTTCTGGTGGTCTGGGCCATCCCCAGGTAACCTACATGAACCCCAAACTTCCTACTTCTACCCTGCCTCAATTCAACAAGTGGCTGGGTGGCAGCCACTGCTCCCAGTGAACAAAATGGAGTGCAGGCTGAGTGGAGTCAAACAGTAAATAAGCAGACAGATAATGTCAAATGGTGACCAATGCTAATGAAGAAAATAAAACAGGAAATGTGGTGGAATCTGAGAGGATGAACTAGTTTGCAGTGGGAGTCAGTGGATGATTCAATAAGAAAGGAACATTTGAATAACTGTGTCAGCTAAGTGAGGATCTAGGAGAAGAATATTCCAGCAAAGGGAAGAGCACCTGTCAAATCCTTGGTGTGGAATGAGCTTGAACTTGGATGGAGCAAGGTGATAATGGGAGTCCCTGTTTCCATGCAAAGGAATGGTGGAGACAGCAGTTCCCACTGAGAGGGCTGCTGTGAGGAGCAAGAACAGTCAAGGCTTGGTGCTGGGCATGGTGCTGGACCTGGGCTGTCCCATGACTCCCCTCCCCCTTCCTTCTTGACATTCCCTCCATTAATTACGGTGCCAACTTTGTGCCCTATCCTGCTTGGGTTTCCAATAAACATCTAATTATGGTGTTGCCAGAGGAGATAGGACCAGTTTCACCCTGCCTAGGAACAGGAGGATTTGATATGGAATTCTATTAGGAAAGAAGACTGTTTTAGAAACCAAAACTCCTTGGGAGAGCACCTTGAGGCTTGGGAAAATGACTTCATTCTCCAGTTTCTGGTATGTAAAATGGGAATTACACGAATCTTCCTTTGATTGCTAGGATTGTTTGAAGTTAAAAAAAAAAAAGCCTTTAGAGAAAAGGGATACCATGTAGAAAATCATACTCTTAAAACCCAAAACAAATGTGTCCCAGTGCAGTACAGAATCCTTGTGAGCTGCAGAGTGGCAGTAAATGTGTATCCTAGGGCTTTTTTTTTTTTAATGAGCTCTTAACAGTAGCCATGTGTCAATTTACAGGTAAAACAACAAAAAGAAAGGGAATATGGCATGGCAGATGTGGCTTTCAAAATAAGACCAAAAAAGGGACCATCAGCAACATATAGTTATTTATTTAGCATCAGTTAGGTGCCAGAGCCTACAGTGGCTTTTGGCAAACAAGTATTTCCCCTCAAGCATCTCATATTCTAATGGAGAGAAGCAGATAATATATATAGATAGATGAACTAATCCAAATGTGGACGAGCGCTATGAGGACACGTAAATGAGCCAGGTGTGGCTGTTCCTGCCTGTAATATCAGCACTGAGTAGGCGGAGGCAGGAAGAATCATGAGTTTGAGGCTAGTCCTGGGCTACATAGAAAAAAAAAGATTAAATGAGTATTATAGAAAAGTTTTGTTAAATAGACTAATCTCTTTGGCTGTTCAGGAAATCTCCTTGTGGACTTGATGTTTGAGTCTAGGAAGTTGATGGAGGAAGAAGCTGCTGAGCCTTGATTAAGCAAGGTTTCAAGTGCAGAGGTTCTGAGGCTGAAGGAGCTGGACCCAAGGGGCCTTTGTGCAGTTCAGATCACAGTGATTCAGGTGGGGCGGGAAGAACATGGGTCAGAGGAGTCGGACAGCAGGCAGATCCTACAGGGCGCTGTAGGTAGAGGAAGGAACCTACCCTGTGTGTTACCATAGCAACAGGAAGGGCTTACAGCCTGGGTGGATGGTGCTGCGACTGTGTTTTAGAGTTGTGTTTACACTTATATGGTGAAGTTGCGATGACTGAGTGGGAGTGATGTAGGTAACTCACTTAGAATCAGTCTGTGTCTGTGACACCTCACAAACTTTACCCCTGCTGTCATGAGAAGTCTGGCTTGTGCAGGGCAGGGAGACTAGGCAGGGGTGTGCTGCAGCCACTCAGGGAGAGAAATGGTACAGGCTCAAATGGTTAGAGTTGCAGAGACAGGGAGGCACGGTGACATTTGGGATAGATTTTTGTACATCTTTGTGTCTGCTACAGGTGGCCGCTGCTGCCATGTTTGCTACACCAAGCCCCCGAACGATAGTTCTGGCCAAGTCCAAAGCTGTCCATCCGGATTGTCTGCCTGCCCGTGACGCCCAGTGGCCAGTGTCTTATGCTGCCATCCATTCGAGGGTATCTCCCAGAATCCAGGAACTGGCTAATCCAAGTACCAGGTATGCCGATTGAAGGCTGAAGTGGGATGGGAAGGGCTGGGGCTCTGGGGACAGGGAGAAGTTCCACCTAGTAAGGCCAGTAAAAAGAGCTGTAGGAATGCAAAAAAATAATAACATCTCATTGCTTGTTGCATTTGTTATGGCAAATACATGGCGTTCGTACCATAGGCAAGAGGCTACCTTTACAGGGTTAGTGTGCGTCTCCCCTCCTATAATCCCAACACTCAGGAGGCTGAAGCAGGAGGATCTTGAGTTCCAGGTCAACCTGGGCTATGGGGTGGATCCTCTCCAAAAGGGTTAAGTATGGATATGAAATTATTTATCTGAGAGACATCGTTAATTGAAAGGGTTGTAGAACAGAGCACCTGACGTGTTGTAATTTGTGTAAGAAGAAAGTACACATGTGCCACATCCTGGCTTGTATATGGCTACTGTGTCTCAGAAGAGCAAATAAGAAGTTAGTGATAATGGTGCCTTAGAGGCCTAGGCAGTTGGAATGGGAGGAAGACTGAGTTTTCACTAAACAGACTTTTGTATTTTTTCAGTGCTTTTTCTTCATGTCCATGTATGATGCATTTCTAAGAAATAATACAATTAGCAAGGAAGAAATTGCTTGTCATTTCTGTGTGCTTTTTGAGGGCCTCTTTTTCTTTTTTTCTCTTTTGATGGTTCTGAGGTTTGAACTAAGAGAGTCATGGTTATTAGGCAGGCATTCTATCACTTGAGCCATGCTCCCCGCCCATTTTTGCTTTAGTTATTTTTCAGATAAAGTCTAGAGTTTTTGCCTGGGACCAGACATATACCACCACGCCCCAGCTTACTGGTTGGGATGGGGGGTGGGGGGCGCAGATCTTGCTAACATTTTGCCTGGGCTTGCCTTGAACAGAGATCCTCTTAATCTCTTCCTCCAGAGTAGCAGGGATTACAGTCACGAGCCACCACACCCAGCCCTTGGAGAACGTCTTAACTTGCCTTCAAGTGATTATACTTGGCGCCCCACACCTTTTAAGCATCATCAGGAAAACCTTAGTACAGGCAGAAAAGGCTGTTGGGAGTCTTGAGCTCAGGGAAAAGGAAGTGTGTTAGATCTTATGTGATAAAATTTTAAGACTATTACAGTGTGTTTATCCTTTAAAAGAATTAAGTTCAGCATCCAGTGGACTGAAAACCATGCTCTCTGTGCAGTGAAAAAGGGGGGAATATAATCAACTCTATTCTCAAGTTTTGTTTTTTTTTTTCCTCCAGTGGCAAAGTTATTTACTGGTAAGATCCTGAAGGTGATAAACTCCAAAAATTAGACTTTTTTTCAGGGTTCTGTACTTCAGTAGTTGAGTACTTGCCTAGCAGGCACCAAGCACTGGGGTGGACCCCAGTACTGCAAGCAAAAAAATAAAAAGCAAAGGCTATGTCATCTGACAGATATGTAAATCTGAATTTGATCATAGATTGTTCTTTTTTTTTTTTCAGTGTTAGGAAACAAACCCCTGGCCTTGTCCATGGTAGGCAGATATAATACTACTGAGCTACATCCCTAGTCTAGGCTGTCCTTGAACTTGCAACCTACCTGCCTCAGCCTCCTGAGTACCTGGAATTACCATAAGCCACAATGCCCAGCCTCATAGGTCATTCATGTAACTTTTCTGAGCCTTCGTGTCCTTGTCTGTAGAGTGGCAGTCATGAAAGTGGAAACAGAACAATATCCTAGTATTTAACACAGGGTGGGTGCTTGGGAAACATTAGTTCTCCCTTCTGCTCATCTTACTTCAGGTTGATTTCTTTCGCTCCTGTTTCAGGGCTGCTGTGAATATAGTATATTATGATCCTGACGCCTTTAAAGTGAAGCCAGCTACTTTGAAAGCACATTGTTCTTCGAGGGTCCAGGAGTTGGCAAAACCTATTACACGTAAAATATAGAAAATCACATCAACCAGACACTAGTTACATATGTGAAACGTATATTGAATGACTCAGTTCCGTCCCTGGCACTGTCCCTGGAACTATCCCCGCCCCCTAAAAATGAGACTTCCAGGGAACATCACCGTGAGCCTCAAGTAGCAATTGCTGCTGCTCCCTGGGATGGCATCTTTAGCAGGCTTGGTGGCCCCATGGTGCAGCCAGAGAGCAACCGAGAGCCTTCTTAGCATCCTGCCTACCTCCTCACGAGCATCTGGGCTGCCTCATTGCTGCGGCTGGGCAGACCTGGAGACACTGGTGCTTACATCTGCAGGCTTTGCTTTTCCTTTTCTGGTGAGTTCTGTGTCTTCAGTAGCTGGTCCTGCTCAAGCCCTACCTTCTCAAGGAAGTCCTGGCAATGGAGTTCATTCTTTGTGTTTCTGTGCCAACCTTCCCTTGTTATCTAGAAAAACACTGAAATGGTGAAGCCTTTTGAGATAAATGGAAATGCTTTCATAATCTGTAGCTGACATCAAGGGAGCAAGTCACCTTAAATGATCACATCTCCATGAGTCTCAATTCCTGCCCTTGTGGCTGGAGTTGCTTACCATGAATGACAGAAAAGACAAGACTTTGCTAGGCAAGATGGTGTACCACCTATAGTCCCAGTTACTCGGGGAGGCTGAGGCAGGAGGATCACTGAGTCCAGCTTGGCAACAAACTAGTGATATCCCATCTCAAAAAAAAAATTTTTAGAAAGAAAAAAAGAAAAAAGGGAGGGAGGAAAGGAAGAAGCAAGGAAGGAGGGAGGAAGGAAGGAAAAGACTTACATAGTAATGTGTCAAGGAAATGCTAGGTGCATACCCATTGATCAACAACCCGTTGATCTCTAGAGCTAAAACAATCAGCTACACAAAAATTACTACAGAAAAGAAGGCAGGGGCTGCCATTGCCCAGGCTCCAGCTCAAACAGGTTGGAGTGACCAAAAGTTACCTTCAGGTCATTACCATGTCATTTTAATCTAGTTGTAATTGTAGATTTTCTTCCCCTCCAATCCCCCCTCCCCAACCACCTTCTGTGGGTTTTTTCTTAGGTGGTGATGGGCATTCTCAAGTGCAAAATGATTTTGTTATGTAACAGGGGAGGTGTCAATCATGGGAAAGGACATGCCCAAAGAGGAGGAGGAGAGGGAGGAGACTCATACAGTTCCCCTTCCTCCAATAGAAGGTGGAGCCTTAGATGCTGGGGTCAGATCTCTTCCTTGATGTAGCCCACCATTTCCTCTGATGCGTATTCTCACCTCTCTGTAAACGTTGCTCTTGCTTTTGATATAGTCTTTGTCTTGCTCCAGTTCTTAGCTTACAGCTATGTAAAAAGTGAGAACTCCAGACAAAAATCTGGTGAAAGGAGGGGAGGGAGGAACTTTGCTTTTAATAGCAAACATGAAAATTACTCTGTTAAATTGTTTCTGCTCAGTGTTTTTACTTTCTTGACCTTACTCTCTCCATACCCCAGAAATTAAGCTAACTTAGCTGGGCATGCGTACATTTGCATGGCAATGAACTTAGGTGCAAAAGTGTATTTTACAGATGAGTGAGTTCTATCTTTAAGGCCTTTGAGCTATAGAGAGGCAGTATTACACAGAGTTTTGGAATCAGATAGGCTTGAGTTTGTATTTCCCATGGGTCATTTACCAGGTGTGTAATCTTAAACAAAGTCGCCAACTCCCTGTGCCTCATTTCTTTATGTATAAAGTAGGTTCCTACCACATTGTTGTAAAGATTAAGTGAGATTGGGAGAGGGAGGGGGTGGAGTGGGTGGTAAGGGAGGGGGTGGGGGCATGGGGGAGAAATGACCCAAGCGTTGTATGCACATAGGAATAATAAAACAATAAAAAAAAGATTAAATGAGAAAATGCATAAATAAATCATGAATTTGGGGATGGGGACATGGGACTTAGTAACAGCAAGTTTGAAGCTCTGAGTTCAAACTCCAGGACTGCTAAAAAATTTTTTTTAATGAATTTGAATAAATTGTTTAAGGCCTGGCCTGGTGTTTAGGGGAGTCCAAGGCCAGCCCCAGACAAAAACTGGAGACCATATCTAAAAAATAAAGCAGAAAGGGCTGGGGGCGTGGCTCAAGTGGCCTCACATCTGCTTAGCAAGCACAAAGTCTTGAGTTCAGATCCCAGTACTATCAAAAAAATTAGCTATGTTTGCTTTCTAAGAGGAGGGGGAGGCACAATTGATAGTGATGCGGAGAATATGGCTTGATTCTTCCATTAGATGAGTGGCTGTTAAGTCTTTGCTTTGCTGGGCACTGTACCAGGCACTGGAGATATATCACAGTGAGCCAAACAGATGTGACCTCTGCTCTCACAGACTGTTCAGCCTGTTAGGAGAGATAGGTCTAAGTTTTTTTTTAAAGGAAAGAAACTTTTATATAGGTTTTATTTAATTTAAAATACAAACAGGAAAAGGACTTGGTCTGTATAGCAGAAAGAGATAGGTTCAATTTAAACATTCACAAATAATTGTAATTGTGACAGTAGCAAGTCCTATAAAATAGTGTTAAGAAATATCACAGTAGAGACTTTCAATCACTTAGGAAGGTGAGGGAAGACTTTTTCAATGGGAGGGACAGTTGGACTGGCACCTGAAAACTGAGAAGGGCTAACTGAAGTAGGGACAGAAAGGCATTCCAGAGAGTGGGAACTCCTATTTAGTGGAGATTTGTGAGTTTGGGGCCACCCTGTATCCATTCCTGGTCTTCTCAGTAAGAATCTCTGATTTCCTTCTTGGGGAGTTACTTTTTCCTCATTTTTAAAGCTTTATGGGAAGTTTTATTCAAGGTGGACATGTGACACTAGCAACTGAATCAATTGAAGTGTTTGTTCTCTGGGACTTCAGATTTTACATCGAGTGATGGAGGGTGTGGGTAGTTGGAGCTGATTGTTCCCTGCAGGAGGCCTGATGAGACTTTATTTCGCTTTTACTTCCTGTGTCCCAAGAGCTTCTCTTGACTCCCACACTGGTCCTTTGTCCTCAGAGGCCGCCCATAGCCTTCTAATAAATCCTTTGTAACAGTTGGAGGGACGCATCAGTGACTGAAAGGTGCCCAGTATGGCACAAACAGAAAGGGAAAGGGCACTATTCAGGGCCAGAGGGGGATGGGGGAAGGGAGCCAGAGCATGCAGGACTCTGGAGGTCAAGCTGGAAATTTTAGTCTTAAAGCCAATGGAGACCTCTGAAAGTAACAAGTCTAGGGTGACATATCAGGGTTGCCTTTTGAAAAGACTACTCTGACAAATAAATTAGGGAGAGAGTAAAGGTAGGTAGGTCAAATGAAAATGGTTTGTGGCACCCTGGTGGAGTTGGAAAGAAGCAATAGATCCAAGGAGATAGACTTACAGGATTTGGTGATGGATTGGCTATGGGTAGGAGACAGGGCAGCATTCAAGATCACTCCTGAATTTCTAGCTTGAGAGTGCTATGGTATGAATGTTTGTGTCCTTCCAAAACTCGTGTTGAAACTTAATGCAGTTAAGAGGTGGGGCCTATTAGGAGTGTTTAGGTCAAGAGGACTGCCTTCATGAATGACATTAGTGCCTCTCTGAAAGGTTTATGGGAGCGAGTATATCCCTTTTCTCCTTTTGTCATGTGAGAACCCAGCAAGATGGTGCCATCTTGGAAGCAGAGCAAGTCCCTCCCAGACACCAAGTCTGTACCAGTGCCTTGATCTTGTCCTTCCCAGCCTCTAGATTTATTTATTATTTTTTATTTATTTATTGCAGTAATTGGGGTTTGAACTCAGGGCTTCACACTTGCTAGGCAAGTGCTGTACCACTTGAGCCACTCCTCTAGCCCCCACCTCCAGAATTGTGACAAATAAATTTCTATCATTTATAAATTAACCAGCCTGCAGATTCTGTTATAGCAGCCTGAATGGACTGAGACAGACAGTAAGAATCAGAATACGGACAAATGGACAATGGCCAGGCCATACGTGACAATGGACCTCTGTCCACAGCCTCTGCAGCAACCTCAGGGTGGCAAGGGCTTCACACAAGTGCTCCAACAGGTTTCAGTAAGTGGTGTGTGTGTGGGGAAGAGTGGGGACAGAGATGTGGAAGAACTGTTGGTGAGCTGGTTTTGGTTGCAGGAAGGCAAGAGGTGAAAACGCCCTGCAGTCAGGGCATAAAGGTGAAGGCAGTCCTGCTTTGGGCCTAGGAGGATGGTTCTAGAATATGGCTTCATCATGTATTGAAAGCAGAGTTTGAGACCCCAGACCCAACTCCAGGGTTTCCACATATCAGGTAGGCTATTTGCCCAACACACCAAATAAAGAGATGAGTGATGCTAAAAGACAAAGATGTATTATGTGGCATGAGCACACCTCAGGAAGAGACAAAGTATGCACTTCCGTGCATCTTTGGGGTGCAGATGTGAGACTTAGGTTTAAGTAGAGGAAGAACTGGAGCAGGGGAAGAGAGTTATGCACAGTTAAACATCCAAGTGTGGCCTGGTTGATCATTATCTCAGTTCTGGCTCTGTGGGTTCCAGAAAAGGTGTTATCACTGTCATCACTTGAGGGGAGCTGTCTGGTTCCCATGAGATGATTACTCCTGCTCTAGGCTGCAGCTTTGTCATTATAAGTACTGGTCCTCATTTGAGGGGCGGTCTGTTCTGTGAAGCTCTGCTGATCCTTTCCTTGGGGGTGGGCAGTGCCAGCTCTCCTTGTAAAGATGGTATCAATCAGCCCTGTCCTTCCTGGATTCCAAGGTGGCTGCAAGAGAGAAAGACTCTGAGCAAAAACAGATACAACATGGAGACGGAGATGCTAAGCTTTTCTCTTGTTTTTAGTTAATTTGGTGGTCCAAGTAAGGAGTCTGACTTAGCAAAAGCAGTTTAAATACCTATTATAGTATTAGCCATCCAACCTACAAAAATATTTAACTTTACTTTGAAATGGGCCACTAGTTTTTAGTAGTGAGATCTGAAAGATCCTAG